GGCGATTGGACAGCAGCACGGCCGAGCAGCCCATCCTAAAGTAGCAATTGGGTATGAGCATAGACCTATCCTTCCCCGGGTACCAATTGTAGCCCACCATCTCCGTACTCACGACCACCGCGTAGCTGCTAGGGCTGGCCTCCAGCATGTCCCGAGCAAGATCCACAGCAATGACCCCAGCGCTGCAGCCCATTCCCCCGAGGTTGAAGCTGAGAATGTTCCCCCTCATTTTGTAGTGGTTGATAACCATTGCTGACAGCGAAGGCGTCGGGTTGAAGAGACTGCAGTTCACCACAAGGATGCTGATGTCTTTTGCCCGCACCCCGGTTTTCTCAAACAGCTCGTCCAGAGCTCCGAAGATTACGGTCGAGGCCTCTGCCCGTCCCTCCTTCATCGTGGCCGTCTTCTCCGGCGACCCGATGGATTTCGGAATGTAGGTCTCGTCGCCAATGCCTGAGGACTGGAGGATCTGCCGCTGGAATTCCAGGCTGGCGTCGTCGAATTTGCCCGATTTTCGGGCCAGCTCGATGAATTCATCCTTGGTCACCTGTCGTGATATATTGTTTACTTATGATGATTAATTAATTTAGGATGATTATCAAGATTGAAATACTTTTCAAAAATATCAAAATGGAACAAACAATTTTGATATTTTCGCTAAAAGATTTCTTCACAGCCTCAATTTCTAATTTAAGAATATCAAAATTGTGTGCAAAAATCATCAAAAGTTGAAATGTAGGACTAATTCCAATAGTGTACGAAACAAACTCCCTAAAATCCTCTCCTAATATTTATTGCTCTCTATTTAAATTTAGCTCTAAAAATCTCTCTACCCTTTTTTTAATCATTTTAGAGATATATTATGCAAATTACTAAAACTAAAAAATTGAAAATAACTTGGCACACGAAATTTGTATCTATATAAATTGGGTTATGCAATTAATGCTATTTTTTTTTTGTTTTTTTAGGTTAATTATGACAATAACCCGTAATATGTTATACTAATAGATTAATAGTTATATATTTTTAACTATTCTATTATATAATATTTTTGTCCATTGCAAATGGAGATGGAAGAGTCATTGTTGACAATTCTCTTGGCATAGTGCTAATAATGGATTAGATCAAAATGACTCAATTAAATTCTAGTGCTTCTTCTATTAGTGAAGTTTCTAGAAAAATATATATCAACCGACGCAATGCACCTTGGGTCGCTACGGAAATAGCCTCCTTGTATAATTACAAGGGTAAGGTCTGCGTACAACTGACCCTCCAGACCCCAACCAGTTGGTAATATACTGAATATGTTGTTGTATTATATAATAATTATTGTTACAATGAAGTAATTACATTTTATACTAAATGGTATATAAAAATTACATAAGCATATTATCTTTTTTTTTTTAAAAAAAAAATCTAATTAACGGATTGTTTTATTAAAAACTAACTAATTATGGCATAGTTAACCCTTTAAAAATTGCATAAGCAATTACTATAATAGTAAATTTAATATTTTTTCTGATAATTAGTTGGTCACAATTTCTTAAAATTACAAAAATTACATTATTTATTACATTTTATGTAATCAATACATTAATTCACATGTAGTAAAATACTTCTACAATGTCTACTTTTACTAATGATAAAAAAAACTTTATAATTTAAGTATCATATACATACATACACTCATAATACTTTATTTATGTATGTGCATGCGTATATCATCGAATAATAGTAAACATTAACTACAAATTGAAATTAATTGTGTGATGGCGTGCGCAAACATTACCTTCCACACTTGATGTTTCCTAAAACATAGTCTATCTTTTTTTTTTTTTTTTGGTACAAAACATAGTCTATCTTTACTAGATGGTATGGTGATAGATTATGGCTACACTAAAAAATTAATTTATATGATAAAATGTTTTGTAAAATTTCTCAATAAATTAATCGAAATAAAAAGTTTATCGAACATATTTAAAAATGTATTAAAAAAATCGTATAAATATATTTGAACTTTTATAAAAAAAAGCTCGTCCAACCAAAACAAAGTATAAAAAAAAATTCCGGACATAAAAGTAGTTATAATCTGACCTTCAAATCATTACTTGGTTTGTAACAGGCGAAATCAAGAAGATAGATGGAGCGCGGCCTGGACACGAAGTAAAGGAAGAGCGTGAAAACCGAGAGGCCCAAAAAGGCGAGGACGGAGGCAAGGTCGTATCCGGCGGCGCTGTCCCAAATCCTGCGCCACAGCTCCTCCTTGCTCAGGCCGGCCAGCACCAGCACCGGGATAGTGGCCAAGAATATCCCGTGGTTCATCAGGTAATGATAACCCAGCTTCACATACTTGAGTTTCACCGACTGGACAAAGTCCGGCAGCCTCCGCCGGACCCTCACCGAGAACGTCATCGACCCGGCGTCCGGGCCCGACGACTCGATGCCCCGCTTCACGATCTCCGTCGACAGCAGCTCTTGTTCTCCGGCCATAAATGTTAATTTCTGCCAATATATATATATATTAATTATAAGTTTCGTTTTCTATTTTTCTTTGGGGTGTGTTGATTTGTAGGATGATGATGGTTTTGGGGGTATTTATGGTGACTGGTGGGACTAAATAAATGCGGGTCACCGAGTTGGGTTTGTGCAGTTGGTGGGTTGGCTTTCCAAACAAAAGCCTTAAATTCTTGCATTTATGAAGAGTAGTTCAAATTTTCACAAAAGTCTGCTGGTTACATCTTTTTCTCTTCTGGCAATATTAATGAATTTTTATTTACCTTTATTTCTCCTTTTGTTTTGTGATGAAATGTTTGTGAGGAGTATGTAGATTACACGAAACGTGTTTTAACACATAAATTAAAATTCGACCCGTCAAGTCTCTTTCGTTAACAAATCGGTCGCTCGCACGATATGTTGTTTGGAATTACAAGAATATAACTTCCTCTTAAACCTACCACAACTATATCGGAAACTATTAATTATTTCCATAGTCACAACGTGGTTGCTATATGGAATCCCTCGAAGCTGATAAAGTACTTAATTCATATTTACCCAATGGTATGTAAGTAAAAACATAAACAACTATTCAGTAACGCAAGAAAGCAAAATTGATAACCTCAATGTAAACCGAAACTCACAAACTCTTAGAGATTATTTTGAAAAATAATAACCTCAATGCTAATCGTAATCGCAACAGCATGTCTCAGAGTCTTTGTGATAGCATATATACAAACTCCAAGACGGTAAAGAGCCTTCACATTCCCACGTCTTCAACATCTGTCCATGTGAAGTTGATTTCCTTCCAAAAAAGTTCGGCTTCTTTGGTTGCAGATTTTCATTATCTTTGATCTTCATCAAAGATATATTTGTGCAGAAACAGTGTTTTCCAATTTTCTTGATTTTCTAATCTTGTCTAAGATATTCATCAATGTCTTCATATCTTGATCTCGATCTTCTCTAAGTTAAGTGCAAGATCATCATGCACGATAAACCCACCATTCTTAAAATACTCCATGCATCCTTTATCTACAAGTATAAGGAAACTTAATAAGGCAATGCATGACTTAGATATGGTAAAAGAATATAAAAATATATTACTAGTGGTTAGTAGTATTGTATAGGAACTAAATAAACATAAAAATAGAATAGAAATCTTCCCTTTTAATTTGTATTGCTTGCCAAGCAAGAATATCGTCAATATACTTAATTTGTTGAACACTTGCCAAACCAAATATTTTCTATTTTTCCATTTGGCATTTAGATTCGGAAATGTTCTTGAAGATGACCTGCAAAATAAATTTGAAACTGCAAAGCAAAATTCTATGTACGAACACAAGGGAATATACAATCCTAAAACCTATAGTGTTAGAACATTAGACCAAGTTCCTAAAGAAAATATACGAAGGATCAGCGCTAATACAATACTAGTACAAATCACTTATATGACAGGGAATCCCAGATCAAGATATCAATCGTAGAATAAAAAAACCAATTAGAACTTGACAAAGTTTCAATTTTCTGCATAATACTATCAGAGAACAAAAACAAAATAGGAGTTGTCCAACCATCCTAGCAAATTGTTAAAATATCCCAAACAACATCCTAAGAAAGCATCAAAAGAAACACAACTAAAAACAAATATTAAAATATTCTTACAACTCATTCCTCACTACATGCTTAAAATTCTTCATCCCTCAAAAGCAAGTATATGTACCCAAGAGTATTATGAGCAAAAACATAAACAACTATATATTCAATAACGTAAGAAAGAAAAACAGAATTGCTGAATATCTAATCTATGAAAATGTAAACTTAAACTCACAAACTCTCAAAGACTATCTTGGACAATAAATTCAACGCTAATTGTAATTGCAACAACATGTTTCTCTGTCTTCATGGTAGCATATATACAAACTCCAAGATGTTAAAGATGTATTACCCCATGATTTTAATAAGAATCGGTTTATTTTATTCGTGTATGTATATTGCATTTTCTTTTAGTTTGTCTTGCTCGACTAAATTTCTAATAAGCTTATTGTGATTATCCAGATGTCATCGATTTTTAATCCAATAAGTTAATTGGACTGTAGATGTCCCATCTATTTAAATGATTCCAATTTAGTCCTTTTTTTCTCAAACATCAAATTAGATTAAACGAAACTCAATTTGAGCAATATGTACATATTTAACCCAATTTTTTCAACTTGTTGAATTAATCCATCACCTTGCTTTTTCCTTCTGTTAATGTAATGATTTCTCACTGCAATTTATACTTCATCGGTCCATTTTTCTCTCTACACCTATGACACATATCGTCCCATAAATACTTGGAAGATTCAACATAGATAAATGATCTCCGCAATATATTTTGATAACAAATTCAAAAATCCACGACAAAAATTATCCAATCCGCCTTTCCGAAATAGAATAACCATCATCATTCACATAAGTTTATAAGATTTCACCATTATAAAACCGAGCTTCGTTTCTGCACCTAGAGCAATGATCATAGAGAGTTTCCAAGAAAGAAATTCTTTCCCAAATAGAGGATTCGAGATGAGCATCATATTAGAATGATCCAAGCCTTGTAAAAACATCGAACCATGATCATGAATAGCTCCTCCTTGTTTCACTCCAAATCCCCAATCATTGAAATGATTTTCTCTTTTCGACTCCGTAAGTGAATTCGTCTCATTGTAACCTTGAATCTTACTGCTCTGGTACCATGTCGAAATGGTTCATGTTCATAGGTATGTTTTGTTGAAGAATCATTGAACTCCAAGAATTCATTTTGTTAGCTTAGTAAAATCAGAAAAGAACGTACAAAGTTGCCCTAGTTATAGCTCGTCTCACATGCAGACAAAATAAAACGAGAAAGGTAAAACGATGCCGCTTGACTATAACCTACACGACTTTGACCGGTCTTAACCAAATAATTGCATCAACTAGTAACTTACTTGAAGAACATCTAACTTCATCATGCATAGTTATAAAATCGATTAACCTACAAATTATTTTGGTATGTCAATTAGCTAGGGTGCTTTCATTTGCATGATATTATTAGGCAGTTGGATTACTAATCTCGTACGATTTAACAGAAAACAAATACGTCTGAGTATGAGAAAGCTCAGTGGGGACTTAACAATTGATATATAGCATTTCAATGAAACCAATTTGGAAAGTTCATGTTAAACAAGTTTATACTCATGCATATTTTAGAGACATCTTACAAGTGCTCGAAAGTAAAACAATAATAGAAATTCAATTAATAGCTATTTGTTTGACACGGTCAAACTACTGTTTGTTTTATATAATAGTGCTTAGTGTTACGTCTTTAATCAACCATCCCCTAGATTAAGAAATGTATAAAGAAAATTTGATGTTCCATTATGCTTGACTCGTTCGTTTTCAATAATTACCCAACCATTTCATTTTTACATGGCTTGATATTGATTGTATGATTTACTTGTTGCCGTGTTGGATATCGATAAATCTATTTGATATAACAACCAAAAATTGCTCAGTTGATCGGGTTG